CAGGACAAGGAAGGACAGTGGAGGAGGTCGCAATGACCGGACCCCCAGAGGGGTCAGCAAGGGAGACAGCAACTGGCCGGGCAAGCTGCTCAAGGGCAGTGCGGTCACGAAAGAAACAGCGAGAAGCTCCTGAGTCTAGAGTGAAGGTGTGCAGTGCCTCAGTGGACTCAGTACCAGGGGGCGAAGACTCACTAGCACCTAGAGCAGTAGCCTCACCAGCACCTGGGGCAGCAGACACGCAAGCACCTAGAGCAGCAGCCTCACCAGCACCTGGGGCAGCAGACACACAAGCACCTAGAGCGGCAGCCTCACTGGTCCGAATGCCCGGGTCGGGCGGAACACGCAGGTACTGATCACCCTCTCCACTAGTAAACAACACATACATGGCAGTGAGAATAGCATCAAAATCAAGAGCATAGATATCAATGTTCTTCTTCATCAGGTCAGCCCAGCGGGGCAGCTCAGTGGCAGCAGGGAACTGAGTGCGCCAAGCGTCGTCAAGGCGGGAGAAGCAGCGCTGCGTGGTGTGCGCCCTCCCACACGTCTGGCCAGTGCGGTCACCAGTGCGGATGACGTACGTACAGCTAAGGCCACCCCCCCCCCCCGTGCTGAGAGTACCACTCACGAAGCTCCTGGGACGACGGAGTGTGCTGCTGGCTCTGGCCACCGCCAGCGCCTCCACGACCACCACCGCCGCCGCCACCACCTCGACCACCACCGCCTCTGCCGCCTCCGCGTCCACCGCCTCCCCAACCACCGCCCCCACCCCGGCCACCTCCTCCGCTGCTGCCGCCTCCACCCCCACCGCTGCCACTAGCCCCTCCAGCCCCGCCACCACCCCCACCACCACCTCCCCCGCCGTCGCCTCCACCTCCCTTGCCCCCTTTGCCCTTGCCGCTGCGGCGCCAGCTCGGAGCAGACGCAGTCCCGACCTGCTCAGTACCAACTAGGTCGACAGCAGCAGCAGAGGCGACTGAGGGGAGAAGGGGGGAAGGGGAACACCCCTCGAAGAAAGGGGTGCGGGGGTCGCCACGAGAGGCAGCTACATCGACTATGCTAGTCTCAGCTGCAAGCAGTTCCTTCTCGAGCAGGTCTATGGTGAGCTCAGTGGGGGAGCGAGCGAGGAAGTGGTCCCTGACCGCACGAAGAGAGTCAGGGAGACGGGTGACAAGGTGGTAGAGAGTGAGCCAGAGCGGGGGGGGGTGGGTGGCAAGAAACTCAGCGGGCATAGCGGCACGGAAGCGAGCCTCACTAGTGCGGAGGTGCGTGGTGAGGTCAGCGACTGTGGCGAAAGCGGACAGGTCTGGGAACAGGTAGGGGAGCGAGAGACGGCCTAGCGCAGCAGAGGCAGGTGAGGAGTAGCGTGCAACTACAGCAGTGTACAGTGCCTGCGCAGTTTTGTGCTGGCCAAAGTGCTCCCGCTCATCTATCGGCAGGGAGTTGCGAATAGCGAAGCGAGTGTGGGCGTCACGAGTCTGCCACTGTGAACGGGTAGTACTGTCAGCAGTAGCAGGAGGGGCAGCAGCATTGCCTAGCGCGTGATCGTACAGTGAGATATCCTCCTTGGCAGTGAGCTGGAGGAATAGGTGCAGGTCATCGAGCCAGGTCTCAAACTTCAGTGGGCGGCCCTCAGCATCGAAAGCTAGTACAGAGGGGCTAGCCATAGTTGAAGAAGCAGCAGTAGCAGTAGCAGGAGTAACAGTAGCAACTGTAGCAGTAGGAGCAGGAGTAGTAGCTGGTGGGGTAAAGTAGGGCGGCGCGGCTCGGCCAGGGCGGCGCGGTTCGGTTCGGGCGGCGCGGCTCGGTTCGGGCGGCGCGGCTCGGGTCGGGCGGCTCGGCTCGGTTCGGGCGGCTCGGCCTGGGCTACGTGGCGGAGCGCGACGGGGGGCGTGCGCGTGGGCGGCTGTAGCGGGCGGGCCGTGGCCGTGCGTGGGCCGGACTAGCGCGCTGGCGGCGGCCTGGTGGGGTGTCGCGGCGGTCTAAGGGCGGGCCGCGACCCTCTGTGCGGCTGTCGACGGGCGGCTAGGGGGCTGCTCATGGGTGGCGACGGTCGCGTGGGCGGCTAGGGGTCGGCGCGCGCTCAAAAGCAGTCGCGCGCGGGCTGCTAGCGGGCTACACGCGCCAAGAAAAAAACGGGCCGCGCGCGGCACTAGCGAGCTGCGCACGGGCAGCAGGAGGAAGAGGGGCGCACGAGGGCGCACTAGGAGAGAGGCGCTCGAGGGCGCTAAGGAGACACGGCGCTCGAGGGCGCTTCTAGCGGAACGGTGGGCCCTATCGGTCCTAGGTTACGACCTAGGCTCGCGATACCATGTTAGAATCTTAGAGAGAACGAGAATGGATGAAACTAGCAGAAAGTTGGGTACAAGTAGGAAACCCTAAGTTTGTTGTACCCCCTAAGGCTAAACCCACTATAGCCTACACAATGTAAACATACAATGTTTGACACGCATGAGTGCAGGAGCTAGCCAAGATGAGATGGTGTCAAAGATGGACTCTTCGGAAGAAAAGCTCAAAACGCTCTGGGGAAACGTTAGCATCAGCTGCATTGACGAGTGAGTGAGACTGCCTTTCGGTGTGAGTTTGTGGGTGGGGTAACTGTGAATGTGAGCGAATGAGTGAGTGTCGGTGTACGGATGTTGTACTATCCAAGCAGATGTTTGCATGAGGGGAGGGAGAGAGTGCGAGCATTGGTTGTTGTAGACCTCGGTGTGTGTAGGTTGATAGGTCCTCTGGATTCAGTGTGCTAGGTGTGTGCAGTCTGCTGGGACATGCCTATATAACATTAGCTCCAACTTCAGTCAGGAGGCACTACGTATCAACAAGAAAACCTTTTTTTTCTGTTCTGAACTTGCTCAGGTACCACAAACAAGATGACGCCTTTTTCGAGGCGTTCTTTGAAGCAACAGATGTGACACCAGAGAGGGATGCTGTGAAGCAGGAGCACAAGGCCCTGATAAGGCGTCGGCAGGCAGAGTTCACAGCAGGCCTTGATGCAATCAGGGTGCGGGTGAAGGAGATCTACCAGATCATGGCGCCAGGTGGCGACGCTGACCTGGCCCCTGTTGACCCGTTCAGCCAGGGCATTTGCTTCTCTGTGCGCCCGCCACAGCAGCAGTGCTGGAGGAGCGTTGCCGATCTCGATTCACGAGAACAGGCGAGAGAAGACACTCTGTCCCATTCCTCTGCAAGACCATTGATTCCAACAGTGGGATGTGAATCTCACTGCTTCTCCTGCGCGCCTCTGTGTATCTGTGCTGCACTGGACATACTGAGAGGACATTCCATTTTAGACCACTGCAAACCAGTGCTTCAGCCTTTACTCTCACCGACTCAAACCCTGCAATTTCTGCACTGCTGTGGCACAGCTGTTTGCCCTCTATTGCAACACGCCCATTTCTTCAATTTTCAAGGCGTCACTTTTCCCTCCCTGACCTCCTCACATTTTTCGCACCGCATCACATCACATCACTTCACATCACATTGCATCGCATTGCATCACATCACATAACACCACACCACACTACACCACACCACACCACACCATACCACATCACACCACACCACTTCATATTGCATCACATCACATCACATCACATCACATCACATCACATCACATCACATCACACCACACCGTATCACGTCAAACATCACAGGTGCTCAGCTCCCTGGCGTTGGTGGTGGCAGTCCACATGTGCAAGCCAGACTCACCCCTTATTACCTTTAAACTTGATGCTTCTATGGGCACGTCTTGAAACCCTAAACTATCGGTACGATGTTCTGGTAGTTGATGAGAGGTGCTGGTAAGCGTTGTTAGGTGCTGCGGGGACTGGTCTTCAGTGCCTGCTACTGCATGCATCATTGGTGTTGCAGACTGGCAGGGTACATTCTAGATTCCGCATCTCACCCACACTTTTATATTTTCACGGTCTCACCCTCTGTCTAATTTTGGCTTTAACCCTCTAGACTTTGCATCTCACCCTCTCTCTAACCTAAACCCCAACCCTTTAGATTTTGCATCTCACCCTCTCTAACATTAACCCTAACCCTGTTTGCTGCAGCCTTCAAGAACACGTCCATTCTGGCTGAATAGGTACATGGAGCAGCATGCTACTAAGTGCATGTGTGACCTTGCCCGGACCCAAACCCTGTTTCCTGTAGCCTTCAACACGTCCATTCTAGCTGAAATCATGGAGAGGCATGCTACAGCACAGGAGCACACCCATGATTTAGTCACTGCAGAAACAGCCCAAGGAGGGGAGTTTCGTTGCATATTCGTAGGCTGGAAGTAGCAGTGGCACTCAATTGCCCACAGTACTGAAAGTCATGACTGACATAGTGGAAGAGTACACGAAGCAGCAGCACAGCAAGATCACTAAGAGCACTTCACATTTTATCCTTGTTGGAAGCACAGAGCGCGTGTGGTGACAATAATTGACCAAGTATTCTAGTGAGATGAGGCAACAAGCCACTGAATATGAACCATCAGGTGTAACACATGCAAGGTGTCAACAGAGCCTGGCAAGAAAACGGGTGAGCGGCCCATAACTGTGCTCACCGATCTACACTGGGTTGTTGTAGAGGGGGTTTATGTGGTTGTGTGTAAGGTGCACAGGGGTTGCCGGAGAGGACAAGAGACCTGTCAGACATTGGGGGGAGTGATTATGGGGCCAGATAGACACAGAAACGAATCGAAAATGTGAAGTGTTTTTATGACAGACAGACACACATGTAGAGACATACTAGGTGCAGAAGAGATGCTTGTAGAGGAGATGCCCTGAGGTGGAGGTGAGGAGAGGCGGTTGTAAGGCAGGTGCTATGCAATGAGCATTTCTCTTGTGCGTTTTGCAATAAGTGTGTATGATCAGGCACTTGGATCGTGCTCCTAGTTTAAGAATTCAGACACTCTGTTGAGGTGTGGTGAGGAGAAGCATTTGTAAGAGAGGTGTGGTGTGGCATGCAGCAAGTGCAGATTTAGCGCTCGTGCCAACTTCAAGCATCACTCACTGGAGGTGTGGAAGGGCGGACGTGAGGTGGAGGGGGGGAGAGGAGAGCGATTCGGGGAGAGTCTCTAGACTGCGAAGGGAGAGGGGGGGAACGGGGGGAAGTGATCACACAGGAATGGCAGATGGCCAACATAAACCACCTTTTACGTGAGGCACGGTAAGCGACTGTTGAGGCACCTCAAAAGAGTTCTCACCCGTTGTGAGCGAGAGAGAGGGAGGTGAGGCGTGGTAAGTGCGAGAGGGCCACTCCGAGGCGGCAGATGCAAGGCTCGGTGACCTAGAGGGGATGGGGGAGGAAAGGTGGGGAGGGGGCGAAGGGGGGAAAAGGGGAAGTTTCAAAGCCTGCAGCCCCCTTGATATTGCCATGTCGCCACATGGCCTACCCACCACATGCCTGTGTGAGGGAGGTGAGGCCGGGCACAGATGAGAGAGGGCCACTCACAGGCGAGACATGCAAGGCTCTGCGATGCGACCTGAGGGAGAGAGGAGGAGAGAGGAAAGGTGGGGAATGCAGGAGAGATAGAGAATACAAGGAGGGGAGGGAGAGAGCGGGCAGGAGCGGCAAGGATCTTTCAGGCAGGGCTCAGTGACCTGGGTGAAATGGGGAAGGGCGGGAGGGTGCAAATATAGAGGGAGGTGGAAGGGTGAGGGGAGGGGAGGGGAGGGGAGGTTATAAGCCTGCAGGTTCTCTGCCACATGGCTTCTAAGGAACACGGCTTATAACGCAGACGGTTTATGAGGCACACGGTTTATAACGCACACGGCTTGTAACGCACACGGTTTATAACGCACACAGTTTATAACGCACACGCTTTATAACGCATACAGTTTATAACCCACATGGTTTATAACGCCCCCATTTTTCAGAGCACACGGTTTATGAGGCACACGTCAGAAGAAGGGAGGTGAGGCAGGGCAAACGGGAAAGAGCCACTCCGAGGCGACAAAAAAGTCACCTCGGAGACTCAAGTGCACGGCGTATGAACCCAGCACACCCACAAACACCTTTGGAACATGCAGACCTTTCCTTCTTACCTTATCTGCCTCACCTGGTTTTTAGACTTCTCAAAAGTCGCCCCACCTTATTGCATGCTTGCCTCTCCTTATCGCCCGCCCGCCCTCGTCTCCTTATTGCCCGCCCGCCCGCCTCTCCTTGTCTCGCACCTGCCTCACCTACTCTCTCGCCCGCCTTTCATTGTCTCACAACCAGCCTCTGGGGGCACATGAGGTTGGTGCAGCGCAGATCGTCACTGCCCCTCCACCAAATGACCCATCAGCCCCAACTTCTGGCACCTCGCCCCACCTCGCCCCACCTCGCTTCACCTGGGGGCGCATGAGGTTGGTGCATCGCAGGTCGTGACTCGCAGTCAAGTCCAGATGATGCCGCCATGCCACGTGGGAACAGGTGGGGGGCCAAGGGTGATGGAAAAATAGGATTAGAAGGAAGGGTGGAGACAGAATGGGAATGGGTTAGAAGGAAGTGAAAGGGTTAGAAGCAACGGGAAGAAAACAGAGAAGCGGGGGAAGAAGAGGTAACGCAGGGAGGAGGGGAAGAAAGATAGGAGAGAGAGGAGGGAGGTGGGGGGGAGTGGGAGGGGGGAGGGAGGGGGGGGGAATCGTGGGGGAGGGAGATGAGAGAAGGATACATTGAGGGGAAAAGACATGGCAAGAAGAGCTCGTTGTTTCGGGCACTCGAGGCTAGAAGCGTGAAGCATTGACTTCCCAAAACCATCTCCGCGCACCCGTTGCATTACTCCCCTCTCACTTCCCTCTTCTCACTGCTCCCCTCACCGCTCCCCTCTCACTGCTCCCCCCTGTCGCTCCCCTCGCCGCTCCCCTCATCGCCACACATGACAGCCACACATGCCACAGCCACGCGTTACTCGGTACCAACCTTCCACCTCCCGCGGCCACTCACATCAACAGTCGCCGCAATTCGCAGGGCATCAGACAGCGACTTCGCCCGTTTCGCGACTTCGCCGTCTCTTTGGACATCTCTTCGCCATCTTGTCGCCAACCTGCGCCTTGTCACCCCGCGAGTCACAGCGACCGTCAACGCCCGTCGCGCCCTCGGCCGCCTTTTGAGGCGCCTCAAAACTCGCCACGCCAGCTTCTGCCCCACAAGCTACCACCATCGTGGACACATGCACCGGCCGCAACTCCACCTGATACTTCGCCAGCCGCTGCTGTCCCGCCAGCTGCCCGCCAGCTGCCCTGCCAGCTGCCCCGCCAGCTGCGCCGGCTGCTGCTGCCCCGTGAGCTGCCATCATGGTGGACGCGTGAACCGGGCGGATTGGTCACACGAATGGACCAGCCGCATCGAAACTCCATCTGATACCCCGCCGGCTGCTGCCCCGCCAGCTGCACCGGCTGCTGCGGCCCCGCCGGCTGCCACCATCGTGGACGCATGAACCTGCCGCGTGGGAGCATCTGAAGCCAAGTCACAAGCATGGACCAGCCGCATTGAAACTCGACTTGCTACCGCGCCAGCTGCTGCCCCGCCTGCTGCCGACGCGTCCGACGCCAAGTCCACCGGCGGCTGCGGCCCCGCCAGCTGCCATCGTGGTGGACGTGGCACACACGCTTTCCCAGCCCTGGCGCACCATTTCAGACAATGAACTTAAGTGGTCACACTTTCTGTATGACGAAGGCTCCATTGATAACGACCCCCAGCCCTTGACAAAAAGGGCATCTCCTATTGAGCATGTCAATGGCGCTTTTGAACTAACCGAGACGACTAATATGGATGTTACAATCACTCAAACCACTGCCATAGAAACACCTACCACCGTCACGAATATGACCGTGACAGCACCCACGAACAACAACGGAAGGAGGTCTCCAAGCGGAGACTAACGACGAGGTCCTGCTTCTCATGCAAAATCATAGACTTCCATGAGGACGTCACTGGGATGGAGGGAATGCAGGGTCAAAACATGTATGTTTTCTCCATGAGCGAATGTTGCTGCGCGATCCTACATTTCGTCATGATGCTAATGCCATCCATATCAAACTACGGAGGATGCACTCTGAGTGGAATTTCTAATGAGATAGAATTCAGATCTAAGTAGGATCAGCAGTGCAGCTCCCGGCGTGGTATGATTCAATGGACTCGATATGGGCTAATAGGCTGCAAGCTGCGCCGACCTATACCCGCGCCAGCACTACACCCGTCGCTCTAGCGGGACCCGGTGGAACAGATTATGGTGTAAGACGCGCACAGGATGAAGGTGAGTTCCACAAAATCATGACGACAAGCACACCTCAAATATTCGTTATCATTGAAAAATAATATTGCGAACGTGTGTGGAGTTACAAAGACAATTTACCACTTCCCCTTCATCTCCCACCCTTGTACTACCCATTGATCCTAGAGTAGCTACCAATGCTCTTGCCCCTCAGATTGATCTTAACTCTTCACCCATAGAGTCTGGCGGTGAGTCCACCAATCACTGCCTAAGTACTACCCCAATGGTTGCGGTTAGTCTAGGGAAAGACAACCGGCTCTTATATTGGCCCTTCTATGTCCACGCATTCAACGCCGATGTCACCGCCATCGACTAGCAAAGCACCCGCTCATGTGGCAACTCCATCTCCACGCCCTTGGAAGAGGCTTGATGTTGTATCAGACTAGTCGCCGAGTGCGAACCCGACGCCGAGGGCGATTATTGGAAGGCCGAGGGCGATGTCTGCGTATGCAAGCAGCAGCAGCAGCAACAGCAGCAGTAGGGCAGTGCGGCTCGGTAGGCGCAGGGCAGCGCGGCTCGGTCAGGGCGGCGCGGCTCGGGCAAGGCGGCGCGGCGCGGCGCGGCTCGGCAGGGCACAGCGCAGCAGCGCGTGCGGCAGCAGCAGCTCAGGCGCAGCAGCGCGGTTGGCAGCAGCTGCGCAGCAACAGCAGCGTATGCAGCAGCAGCAGCAGCGCGTGCCGGTAGGGGCGCTCGCGGGCAGGCAGCACGCGCGCAGGCAGGGGGCTCGCGCGGGTAGCAGCGCGGGCAGGCAGCGCGTGCGCGCAGGCAGCGCTCGCAGGCAGGCAGCGCGTGCGCGGGCAAGGCAGCGAGCGCGGGCGACAGGCAGCGCGCTAGCGGGCAGAAAACGCGCGTGCAGCAGGCAGCGCGCTAGCGGGCAGAAAACGCGCGTGCAGCAGGCAGCGCGTTAGAGCAGGCAGTGCGCGTGGCAGCAGGGCAGCGCGACGCTGTACGGGCAGGGCAAGGCAGCGCAAGGGCGCTCCGGGCAGGTTTGAACATATCGATTTGGTGGGCCCTAAAAAAACTAACCGTGCTCCTGCTCTGAAACAATGTCGAGAGAACTGTGCAGGAATGGATGAACTATGCAAGAGTGAGATACAAGTAGTAAACCCTAACTGGGGTTGTAATCTATACTGAGCACCTCACTATAGCCTAGCAGAACTAACAACATAGAAATATGTTTTGACATACACGCATCAAAAAGCTTATGTCAGCAGAGGAAGTGAGCAACAACACCTTGCTGCCTCACTGCTGCTTCGCTTTCACCAAGAGCAGAAACGTAACAGGTGAAGCGGGGCCGGGAGTAGGAGACCGTGGGGTGCGGTGGGGGGTGGACGGGGTGCAGAAATGTGCGTGAAAGTACGGTATCCCGCATGCAAGGCGATGTGAAGCACTTGAGATGCACGACCACATCAGAGGCAGGGTGCAAGCTAGCGGAGGGCGGCTCTGGTGATCACATCTTTGAGCTCATCCACTCCCAACGCTCCCAGCAGCACCACACCCCCCTCCCCCTCATCTCCCTCCTCGTCCCCCGCACGGCTCGCAGCACCCTTGCTCCTCCCCGGATACCCCACGCACTCGCCACCTTTTGCCCCTCCTGCCGTCCCGCCTGCCATGGCACGTGCGTGCAGCGCTGCGAGGGCGCACTCTCTAGGAGCCATCCACCAGCGCACACACCCGGCAGCCGCATCCGGGCGCGCCACCAAGTAGCACTCCTGCTCCTCCGCACCAGTGCTCTTAGTGGCAAAAGACGCGTCCTGCGTCTAAGACGAGTGCGTCCAGACGCAGCGTCTTAGACGCAGGACGCATGATGTGGGCCTTTGAGACGCAGCAAAAGACGCAGGCCCGGGCAGGGCAAAAGAAGCCCCCGGGCAGCCAAAAAAACACGTTATAGGGCATGGGAAGGGGGGGGAGGACGACGTATCACACATGTGAGGCAAAAACATAGCTATGGAGCGAAAGGTAGCACTATGGAGCGAAAGGTAGCTAAACCCTCAAGGGTTTACGAAGGAGAATTGTGTGTGGGCTGTTTTTGATGGTCGAAATGGGTCTGGGGGTCGAAATTTCGCGACATTGACATTCGCGTCGAAATCGCGAATGTCAACTTCGCGATCGGGAAACAAAACAAAAAATTCCGGTCAGCCCGAAAAAAAATCTGCCGTGCGTCCTGCGTCTGGACGCGCGTCCAGCGTCCCTGCGTCCGGACGCTGCGTCCAGACGCAGGACGCATGACGCGCCTAGCGTCTTTTGCCACTTAGCCAGTGCTGCTCCCACCCCTGCTGCTGCTGCTCCCACTGGTGGTACCGCTGCCTTGATGCGGTCCAGAGCGGTGCGACAATGTGGTGAAGGAGAGGGAGGAGGGGGAGGCGGAGGCGGGGAGGGAGAGGGAGTGGGCGTGGGCGAGGAGGGCAGAGAGGCAGGAGGAGGCGACACGGTGGAGCAGCAAAGAGGAGAGGTCGGGCAGGGAGGGCAGCACGGTGGGCAGCGAGAGTGGGCGTGCGCGTGGGTGTGTGTGGTGGAGAGGGAGCCCGGTGTGTGAATGAGCATGTGCATTTGCACCAACACCTGCATGTGAGCCTGTGGCCTCCACGATGGGCAGCACAGACAGCTCCACGTCTCTCAGCTGCACCGCCACCTCCCACTCCCACTCGCTCTCCCCCGCGCCCCCACTCCCTGCTCCCCCATTCCTCTCTTTCTCCTCGCCCCTCCTTTCCCCCTGTAGCAACTCCCCATCACCCTCAGCAGCCCCCGCAGCTGCTGCTGCTGCCGCTGCTGGTTCCTCTGCTGCCGCACCTCCCACCGTGCCCTGCCTGTCGCCTCCCACATCACAGCCCCCACCCTCCACACCTGCTTCTACCTCAACTTTTCCCTCCCTCTCTCCCAATCTCCTCGCCTCTCCATTTCCTCCAGCTCTCCCCTCGTCCTCCTCTCCTCCTCCCTGCCCCTCTGCACCCCCCCCTCCCCCTGTCCCGCCCACCCCTCTCTCCGCCTCACCCAGCCGCCCACCGTGTGCCCCGTGAGAGCTGTGCAGAGCGGTGCAGGAGGATGGAGAGCGGAATGAGAGCGTCCAGGCAGCGATGGTGGGGTGGTGGGTGGCATGCGAGCAGACTGTCAGGTGTGGACAGAGGCGCGCCTGGTGGACGGGGCAGGGCAGTGGGGGGAGCAGCGGCAAGGGAGCAGAGGGGCAGGAGCGGGCGCAGGGTGAGGTGAGAGAGTGAGTGATGAGCGGCGGGTGGTGGGAGGGTGAGAGTCTAAGGGGGGTTTGAGGTTGCGTAACGAGGCGAGGGTGATGCAGGGGCAGATCAACGGGGGAAAGCACAATCCCATGCATGCCGCACCACAACATGCATGCCACATATTCCCAGCAGCACCACACCATGCATGGCACATATTCCCAGCACCACCATACCATGCATGCCACATCCTCCCAGCACCACCATACCATGCATGGCACATATTCCCAGCACCGCCACACCATGCATGGCACATATTCCCAGCACCACCATACCATGCATGCCACATCCTCCCAGCACCACCATACCATGCATGGCACATATTCCCAGCACCGCCACACCATGCATGGCACATACTCCCAGCACCGCCACACCATGCATGGCACATACTCCCAGCACCACCACACCATGCATGGCGCATACTCCCAGCACCACCACACCATGCATGGCGCATACTCCCAGCACCACCATACCATGCATGGCGCATACTCCCAGCACCACCATACCATGCGCAACAGGCATCGCTCCACGGCCCTTTTCTTTGCCCTGTGCGCCGCTGCCCCCCACAACAACTCCACCACCCCCACACCCATCCCCACCGCACTCAAACCACCGCCGCCACCAGCAGCAGCAGCACCGCCAGCAGCAGCACCGCCAGCAGCAGCACCACCGCCTCCCCCTCCCCCTCCCCCTCCTCCCGCCCATCCCCATCCCGATGCCTTCCTCCCGCTTCCCGCTGGTCCCCCCATCGCACTCCCCCCTCCCCCCCCCTCGCTCCTCCCCCACCACTCCAGCCCCCCTGCTGCCCGCACGCGTGCTTCCCCCCTCTCCCCCCTCCCCCACACCGCATGCCACTCGCCCCACCACCTCCCTCCCTCTCCTCCTCCCCTTCCCCCTCTCCTTCAATTTCCGAGTCTAGCAATTGCCAGCGAAGCTTCCTCGCTCTTTCCTGTGCCTGCTGCTGGAGCAGCAGATAAGCCTCCCCCAGATACACCCTTGCAGCTGCAGATTCTGCGTGATCCAAAAACCTCCCAAACGCTGCCCTATCCTGCCAACGCTCCGCCTGCTGCCCCTTCTGCTCATATGCTCTCCCCTTCCCCTTCTCCTGTTGCTGCCCCTCCTGCAAGTCACCCGGCCCTTGCCCTTGCCTCTGCCCCTGCCCCCCCTGCTCCTGTGCTCCCTTAGTCTGCTGCTGATGGAGGCGGCAGTGGTGGGCGCGGTGAGTGAGGGAGGACCAGAGGGGAGGGGCAGGGGCGGAGGAGAGGAGGCGCAGAGAGAGGCAGGCAGGGGAGGAGGCGAGGAAGAGGGAGAGGGAGGAGGAGGAGATGGAGGCGAGCGGGAGAGCGACGGTGGAGGCCGCTGCCAGGTGGCCCTGAAGAGTCTCGAACAGCTGCAGCGACGGGGGGTGGGAAAGTCAGACAGAACGGGTTGTGGAAGGCAAGATTCAATGAGACGAGAAGCGCGGACGGCAATATTCAATGCACAAGTGTTATGAGTCGACTCAAAACAATAGGGGAAGGGCAAGAGAGGGGCGGCAGCGTGAGCTGCCAGATCGCAGAGCCTGTCGAGCAACTGAGGAATGGGGCTGGTGCGGGTGAAGTGAACAAGATACCTGCCAGTCAACCGTGTTACCTGCCAGTCAACCGTGTTACCTGCCAGTCAACCGTGTTACCTGCCAGTCAACCGTGTTACCTGCCAGTCAACCGTGTTACCTGCCAGTCAACCGTGTTACCTGCCAGTCAACCGTGTTACCTGCCAGTCAACCGTGTTACCTGCCAGTCAACCGTGTTACCTGCCAGTCAACCGTGTTACCTGCCAGTCAACCGTGTTACCTGCCAGTCAACCGTGTTACCTGCCAGTCAAACCACGATCGCTGAGCCGCCCTCAGAAGCTCATGAGCCTTGCGCACCGCCCTCCCCACGCCCCCCTCCTCCTCCTCCTCCTTCTCCTCCCCCTCCTCCCCTTCCTTCCCCTCTGCCATCCCCCCACCCTCTCCTTCCTCCTCTCCCCCCTTCCCCACCGCCCCCTCACCATTACCACGAGCACCAGCAATACCATCCTCCCCATAGTCTCCGCCCGCTTCCCTCCCAAACACGCTGACGTGGAGCCTCCTGATTGGCTGGCCTTCAGGCGGAGCAGCCCGGAGCATTCCCTGCTTGTCCCTATCGAGTCTTAATGAGGTAAAGGGGAGGCTTGTAGCGGGTATGAGAGGCATGCTGGCAGGTAGAGGGGGCGAGTGAGGGAGGGAGAGGAGGAGCGATTGCACTGTGACGTCAGCAGCAAAGCCAGACGCGGTTGAGGAGGAGGAGGTGGAGAGGGGGGTTGGCGGAGGAGCGAGGGCAGGGTGGGTGCGCTTGACCTTCCACCGGTGCTGTATGCTGCCAGGCAGGGAAAGGGAAGAGAGACAAGGCACGGGATGCGAGACAATGCACCGTAGGGGATGGTGAGTAGTGAGAGAGAATGGGTTGCAAGGGGCGGAGGAAGAGGGCGGTGATGGGAGGGAAGGGAACGGAGAGGCTAAACGGTATAATAAACGGTATCAGGAAGACCGATTGATGTGGACGGCACGGGGGGGCATGCCCGCAGGTCCAGTGAGGTGCTCACCGCTGGAGTGCGGTGTAGAACGGTGCGTCGTCGCTGACTTGCTGTGTGAGACGCGCTGCTGCGTGCAGCAAGCCTCCCCCCACGTCCTGGTGAGCCCGGCAGAAGGCAGACGGGAGGAAGGAGAAGAAGAATGGCGACAGTCATGAGGGGAAGGCGAGAACGAGGAGCATGGATGAGAGGAGCAGAGGAGAGGGAAAGGGGAGATGAGGCGGAACAGACAGGAGCGGAAACCGGCAACCGGGGAGGGGAAGAGACGAGCTAAAAGGTGCACATATCCACACACGCACACATGTATATATGCACACATGCACACATGCATACACGCACACATGTATATATGCACACATGCACACATGCGTACACGCACACATGTATATATGCACACATGCACACATGCGTACACGCACACATGCGTACACGCACACATGCGTACACGCACACATGCGTACACGCACACATGCGTACACGCACACATGCGTACACGCACACATGGCACATGCCCATCAGGCCAGAGCCCGTCCCTTCACATTGCATACTCCCACATCTCATGCCCCGCCAAGCCCCACCACCTCTCACCACACTGACTCAAGCCCCACCACACAGAACCGCACTGAACCCACCTGCAACAGCGTGAGTTTGCCTGCCAGTCGGGCAGTGAGCTCAGAGCTCATCTCTGCTGCATGCTGCTTCGGCTTCGACACGCCACTCACAGCCAGCCCCTCTGCACCGCTCTCCACCGCATTCACCAGATCCACTATTACCCTCAGCTCCTCCTGCGCTGACGTCAGCTGTGACATCACCCCCTGCCACGCCCACTCCCCGTGTGCCTCCGCCACTGCCTTCCCCCCAACCCCCCCTGCGCCTGCTGACTTTCCCCCACCTCCTTTCAAGTCCTCCCCGCCCCCTCCCTCCCCTTTCCTCCCCTTCTCCCGCTCGTTCTCGTCCCCGCCACCATCCCCATCCGCCTCCCCCCTGTCCCGCCGTTTCCGTCCCCCCTTCCCCCCCCGCGCGCCCTTCCTCTGTGCTGCGCGCGCGCGCGCACCGTCCAGCTGCGCCAGAAGCGCCAGCATGCGCTCACCCTCGAGGGGTTCGCTGGGGGAGGGCGGGGGAAGGACGGGGTGGGGGGTGGAGAGAGGGTGGGTATGGATGTGGGGAATGGGGGGGAGGAGAGTGGGGGGAGAGTGAGGGGATGCAGGGAAAAGGCGATAGGGCATTGAGAGATAAAAGGTTGGCACCCGAGGTTGGGAAGGGCGAATGAACGCTATATGTACTCTTGGTGAGTGAATTGCAATTCGTACAGCACGTGGTGAGGGAGGAAGTGAGGGAAGGGAAAAGGCGGGGAGGGGGGACGTGGTACGTACAGCACGTGGTGTGGGGGAAGGGGAGGGGAAGGGAAGGGGAGAGGGGAAGAGGGTGACGTGGCACGTACAGCACGTGGTCCTCGCTGCCGGTGACGTCCATCTGCCGCACGCGCTTCACGCGGAGAGGGTCCACCGTTACAATCACATCATCCGTATCGCCATCGTCGTGGTTACCTTTTGCGCCCACGCCGTTCTGTGCTGCGATCGCACGCGACGCGTTCGTTAATCCGTCGTCCATCGGAAGAAAGCTAGGGCTGGGTACGGGAGTATACTGCTGGTATGGGGTACTTAGGGTTGGTTTCACGAGTTCGGTGGGCGCGGTTCGGGGCCCTAGACGGGTCTAGACCGGGCTCTGCCAATAAAAACTACTGGCGGCTCAAATGCTTGGCAGGGCAGGTCTAGGCAAGGTTCTGTAGCGGTTCATATATTTCGAACATATGAACCACGAAGATTGCGAGCTGTCGCCAATTTCGTCAGCAGCGTTTTAGACGGTCGCAGGCGGGAGCTTGTCGTGCAGATGCCAAGGAGGGAGCTTGTTAGGGCGTGTGTGGTCTATTCTAATGCGGAAAAAAGGTCTAACTTTAGGTGGTTACCCGTGTCGCACATTTCGTCAAAGTTATTCGCGAAGAAGATGGATTTTACAGCGCACAAAAGTTCGAATGTGAAATGTGAACTTGACTCGAGTCGACGTTGTGAACGTGCGTGCGCACGTTCGTGCGAGCGTGTGTGATTTACAGCACGTACGAGGAGTGGGCGAAACGGGCGAGGGCTTTGCGAAGTTGAAAATGGCACAACGAAAACATCCCACGATTAGGGCTCACGTCGGTAGCCACGTGGCAACATCCGAGGCACCTAGGAGAACCGGGTAACCTACATTTTTGTCACGCGGCTCGGAGCGTTTTTTACAAGGTCGAATTTAGGGGTTCGACCTTGTTTGTGTGATTGCAGTTTTACAGTGTTGCAGTCCCGATGTTCGAACTTCGCTCCAAATTACATTCGACTTAAGTTCAAAAACCATAGTCGCCCTAACATCATAAACTTTCACAAATTTCAAAGACTACACACGCCCTTAGGAATGCAATTGAGTGAGCGAACGAAGATTGCACTATCGAAGCAAGAGTACAATGAGGGAAGGAATTGAGAGAATGTAATATAGTGAAACTAGCGTGGTAACGGTAACACGCGGACTGTGGGGTGCGCGACGGGCCTGACGCCGAGGTTGGGAATTGTCGAGGTGGAGGACCGGAGCGTGGGTTACCAACCGAACCGTGAGGTTGGGTCGCGACGTGAACAGTGGCGGGAACAGTGGTCGAGGCAAGTGTCGCGAGTGGTAACGTTTTACTGTAGGGTGCTGTTGGCAGGAACCGTCGTGTACGCGGTAAGCAGGGGTGCGAAGTAAGGAAAATGAATTTTCTTAACACTACCCCCCTCCCCAAGGAGGCTCTTCTTACAAGAGTGCGTGTACATCCCGAAAATTGCGGCTTCGCAGATACTCGGTGAGGACGGGGTGGCTCTCGGTTTTATCCAGGGGCACCCAGTTGTCTTCTGTAGGTGTGCGGTCTTTCCAGCGAATCAGGAACTCGATCCTGCAGGTTCCACGTGGGTCACGAACTCGGTGGCTCAGTATTTTCTCAGGGGTGATGACGGGCTCTGTCGGTGGTCGCGTCATGCTGGATGGTTGGTTGCGTGGTAATTGGCTCGTGGATGGGACGTAGGGGCGGAGGAGCCTGACGTGGAATGATGGGCTGACGTATCAGTCGGCGGGCAGGAGGAGGTGGGCGGTGACGGGCGTTATCATGTGGCTAATGCAAAATGGCCCATAATATCGGGGGCGAAGTTTAGGGGTTATGGGCAGGCGGAGGTTCTGGGTGTCGAGCAGTACGAGGTCGTCGGGCTGGTAAGTGACGGGGCGGCGGTGGCGATCAGCATTGCGCTTAGCGATAACGTTTGATTTTTTTTTTTGCTTCTGCTGCTCGGATCCGGGCTGCGTGTGAAATTCCGGCGAACTGCTGCGCGCGTGGGACTGGGTTGTCGGGGCTCGGCGTCATTGGTACTGTTGGATTTTGGCCGTAGTTGAGGTAGAATGGGGACTGCTGCGTCGTGGCTGACGTGGAATTGTTGTAAGCAAATTCGATGAGTGGCAACTGCTGCTCCCAGGTTGCCGGATCGTCGCACGTGGCTCGGATTAACTGTTCCATGGTCTGATTGGTCCGCTCGGTTTGACCGTCGGTTTCGGGGTGATACGATGAACTAAATTGTAGTCGCGTGCCGAACTGCTGCCACATGTTGCGCCAGAGCTTGCTGGTGAATTTCGTGTCGTGGTCGCTGATGGATTTTGGCCGTAGTTGAGGTAGAATGGGGACTGCTGCGTCGTGGCTGACGTGGAATTGTTGTATGCAAATTCGATGAGTGGCAACTGCTGCTCCCAGGTTGCCGGATCGTCGCACGTGGCTCGGATTAACTGTTCCATGGTCTGATTGGTCCGCTCGGTTTGACCGTCGGTTTCGGGGTGATACGATGAACTAAATTGTAATCGCGTGCCGAACTGCTGCCACATGTTGCGCCAGAACTTGCTGGTGAATTTCGTGTCGTGGTCGCTAATGGATTTTGGCCGTAGTTGAGGTAGAATGGGGACTGCTGCGTCGTGGCTGACGTGGAATTGTTGTATGCAAATTCGATGAGTGGCAACTGCTGCTCCCAGGTTGCCGGATCGTCGCACGTGGCTCGGATTGACTGTTCCATGGTCTGATTGGTCCGCTCGGTTTGACCGTCGGTTTTGGGGTGATACGATGAACTAAATTGTAGTCGCGTGCCGAACTGCTGCCACATGTTGCGCCAGAACTTGCTGGTGAATTTCGTGTCGTGGTCGCTGATGGATTTTGGCCGTAGTTGAGGTAGAATGGGGACTGCTGCGTCGTGGCTGACGTGGAATTGTTGTATGCAAATTCGATGAGTGGCAACTGCTGCTCCCAGGTTGCCGGATCGTCGCACGTGGCTCGGATTGACTGTTCCATGGTCTGATTGGTCCGCTCGGTTTGACCGTCGGTTTTGGGGTGATACGATGAACTAAATTGTAGTCGCGTGCCGAACTGCTGCCACATGTTGCGCCAGAACTTGCTGGTGAATTTCGTGTCGTGGTCGCTGATGGATTTTGGCCGTAGTTGAGGTAGAATGGGGACTGCTGCGTCGTGGCTGACGTGGAATTGTTGTATGCAAATTCGATGAGTGGCAACTGCTGCTCCCAGGTTGCCGGATCGTCGCACGTGGCTCGGATTGACTGTTCCATGGTCTGATTGGTCCGCTCGGTTTGACCGTCGGTTTTGGGGTGATACGATGAACTAAATTGTAGTCGCGTGCCGAACTGCTGCCACATGTTGCGCCAGAACTTGCTGGTGAATTTCGTGTCGTGGTCGCTGATGGATTTTGGCCGTAGTTGAGGTTGAATGGGGACTGCTGCGTCGCGGCTGGCGTGGAATTGTTGTATGCAAATTCGATGAGTGGCAACTGCTGCTCCCAGGTTGCCGGATTGTCGCACGTGGCTCGGATTAACTGTTCCATGGTCTGATTGGTCCGCTTGGTTTGACCGTCGGTTTCGGGGTGATACGATGAACTAAATTGTAGTCGCGTGCCGAACTGCTGCCACATGTTGCGCCAGAACTTGCTGGTGAATTTCGTGTCGTGGTCGCTCATGGATGTTGGCCGTAGTTGAGGTAGAATGGGGACTGCTGCGTCGTGGCTGACGTGGAATTGTTGTATGCAAATTCGATGAGTGGCAACTGCTGCTCCCAGGTTGCCGGATCGTCGCACGTGGCTCGGATTAACTGTTCCATGGTCTGATTGGTCCGCTCGGTTTGACCGTCGGTTTCGGGGTGATACGTTGAACTAAATTATAGTCGCGTGTCGAACTGCTGCCACAGGTTGCGCCAGAACTTGCTGGTGAAATTCGTGTCGTGGTCGCTGATGATCGCCGCGGGTATCCCGTGAAGTCGAACAACGGTGTCGATGAAGAGACGTGCTGTTTCTTCGGCTGAGATTGACTTCTTGCACGTTGCGAAATGGGCCATTTTCATGAGCCGACCGACGACGACCAGGATCGCATCATTCCCACTTGCCCCAGTCGGTAATGTCAAACATATATGTTATAGTCAGTGTAGGCTGTAGTGGGGTAGTTCATATAGGGTACAACACTTTTAGGTTTCCTACTTGTACCCACCTGTTTGCTAGTTCAGTCATTCCTTCCTTCACTATTCTGACATGGTATTCTGAGCAGGTTCCCTCGTGGGATCGTTTTTTTTTTAGGGCCCACCACGATTAAAACTTTTTTTCTCTTTCCCTACCGCACTGCCCCTCTCCCCCCACCGCCGCTCTTCCTAGCGCCGGGTGCTCCTCCGGTAGACCCCCTCCCCCCTCAGGGTCCTGCCCCCTCAGGTGTGTCCCAGGTAGACCCTGTCGAGCCTGTCGAGGTAGCTGTCGACTCTGGTACTGCTAGGGGTGCTGAGCCTGCGGGTGCGGGGTCTGGGGGTGCTGAGCCTGCGGGTGCGGGGTCTGGGGGTGCTGAGCCTGAGGTTGCTGAGTCTGGGGGTGCGGAGCCTGGGGGTGCTGAGCCTGAGCGTGCGGAGCCTGGGGGTGCTGAGTCTGGGGGTGCTGAGCCTGAGCGTCCAGAGTCTGGCGGTCCTCCGGGTGTCCCGTTGCGGCGGGAGCCCCTCTCTCCACATCAGCTGCGTGAGTGGTACGCTTGGCGCTGTAGCCGTGCTTCTGGAGCTGGAGCTGCTGGAGGTGCTGCTGGTGCTGGAGCTGCTGGAGCCGCTGGTTCTGGAGGTGCTCGTACTGGAGGTACTGGCACCGCTGGAGATCCTGCTGGTGTTGGAGCTGCTGGAGCTGCTGGAGCCGCTGGTCCTGGAGGTGCTCGTGCTGGAGGTACTAGCGCTGCTGGAGGTCCTGCTGGTGTTGGAGGTGCTGGAGCCACTGATCCTGGAGGTGCTCGTACTGGAGGTACTGGAGCTGCTGGGGCTGGTGGGGCTGCAGGAGTTGGAGCTGGAGGTGCTGGAGCTGTTGCTGCTGGAGGTGCTGCTGGAGCTGGAGCTGCTGGAGGTGCTGCAGCTGGTGGTGCTGCGGGAGGTGTAGCTGGAGACCCTGGAGCTGAGGGTACTGGTGCTGTCTCTGCTGCTTCTGGAGGCGCTGCGCGGCCGCGGCCGTACTACGTTCCGCTCCTTCAGCAGGTTCTTGGCCTCCCGCCTT